TTGTTTATTTATTTTGATAAACAATAAAGCAATTGATAATTTTTTTTTTTCTTATTTGTTCATTAAAAAAAAAAAAGGACTGTATAAAGGAAATTATGCATTTAAACACAGTTACACCTTTCCATATATAGATGTTTTGGGATTTCTTTTAAAAATAGAAATAATTTAATGTCCGAAATAAAAAAGCCAGGTGCATTTTTTTTATGTATTTATGTATAACCTTAAACCATAATTTAACTATAAGACATACATTATCTGCCAAATTCTGTTTCATAAACCACGGCGCAAAGAATATCATGCGACTTTTAATGGTGTGATTAAGGTATTGTTAATGAAACTAATGAAACTACCTTTTTTAAACGTTTTATGGGGATCGAACGTTATGATGAATAATTTATTTATTATGATATCATCACAGGAAAAATTTTTGATTAATAATTAACGATGAAAGGTTAAAGAAATTTATCATTTAAAAAATAAAAAAATGTACGGTTAAATAATAACCCGAGTTAAAATTTAATCCGGCCGAAATTTAAAAAAGTTCAATTCCTTCCAGTTGAAGTATTGTTGGGCCTACCTTTAGCCAACTTTAATTGTTTTCCTTCCTTACCTTTGAGATTTTTTGATTTTTTTTTTTTTTTTGTACTATGTATAAAGAAAAATGTTCTCCTTGTGAACAAATAATTTCTCCCGTTTTAGATTAGTATATAACAATACCATTATAAAATGGACAATACCATTCTACTATCAAATGAGTGTTTCAATAAAGGAAACTTCCATTTTTGTTTCCCATTAGGTTTGTGGCGTTTGTGGCAAGTATAAGCCACTAAGCCACGGGCACAAAAAAGGATGTACGTCTATCAAGTATTAATATATATAAATAAATTCTCGGATTTTGAAAATCCGTGATGAAGGAAGAAAAAGAATCCGATCCCAAATTAGTTCCGTAAATCACACAAGAAAATTTGTCGTCGCTCAAGTAATATGCATCTATATTTGAATAAGTATGAAGAACTTTCTTCTGAAATTTCTAAAAAGAAAATGTAAACAAAAAAAATTCAAAATGTGCACAAACCAATACCATATCAAGTTCTGCATGCGTTTTTTAATTGTTATCATTAAACTTATTATTTACTTCATTGAAATATGGTGGATTAATGGATTATTATGGAACCGTAATCCGTATTCCATAAAAAATAATTTTAGTAATAAAAATTTCATTATTACATTCACATGTTTTTAGGAAATAAAGTCATAACTAAATTTAAAGAATTCATTTTTAAAAATGAATAAATTTCGGGTCTCGGAAATCTCGGAAATGTAATGAATATCGATGGGATGATCCTTTTAATTTATTTAAAACGAATGTAAATCAAAATTCGGATCATGTCACGTGAACTGATTTTTTATTACTAAACTAATTTAGTGATTTCAGCCTGTATCATGGCGCAAAAACTTTCTTTTTTAAGTTTGCCCAGTCAAATAATAATAAAAATTAATTATCTAAAAATGTAAAATCAGGTGCTAGCGATGAAATTTTGTACCATATAAATTTATTTCAATGAAACACCGCGAATTAATCAATGTACAGTACAATACATGATTAACATGATTAATCAAAATTCCGCGTCTCGGCATCAAGGAAGTTTTTGTAAATTAATTTTCCTTATATTATTGATCCTAATAATTTTAATTATTTTAATTATCACACTTATTATTTGTGGTTAATTAACCCTTTTAAAAATATATATATTATAAAAATGAAATAAAAATTATTTTTGTTTCATTAATTTTATAACAAATATAATTTAATTTTATAATATTATGCCAACCGAGTCGATCTAGCACGACAAAGCGAAAATAATTTGATCATAAAAAGTATTATTAAAAAAAATTCATCATCATGCATTACGTGTATTTAAATAGTCTTAATAAATAATCTTTTTTTTTTTAGACTGCATTGTTATTATTTCTTATTCATTTTATTCGGGTTGAAACAAAAAAGACCCTTTTTTTCTCAACAGAAAATTCTTTTTTTTTTTGTTTTTTTCTGTTCATTTAAATTTTCCATATGGCTATAAGATTATCCCGGATCACATTTATGCAAAGATTGTTGAACAAATCTGAGAATAATATTGTGTAAATTAATTAATACTTTATAACCATTTATACTTTTTTTTACATATACCGTAAACGCATTTATTAAAATTTATTAAAGTTATTTGTATTTAGAAATTTTAAACGCTTTTAAAAAGATATCTGATATTTAATCTTACTAAAAATATATTTATTTATTATTGATAAGGTAAAAATAAATTTATTGAGATTATCATCTCTACTGGCATTATAGGAACGTCCACTAAAGTTACAATAATTTTGGCCGAAATGATAATCGTCTTTTTAAAAGTTTGTAACTGCCAATAGCTTTTTTTTAAGCATGTGGGCTATTTAAAGACAAGAATTATCTTTAACAGTGTGAAATCATAAATAGTCTGTGATTTGATTAGCATTTATACAGTACATTGTATCACTATTCTCGAGCGAATATAATTGAGAAAATCAGCAAAGGTCAGAAATCTTATTCTATTTTTAGGTGGAAAAAGAAATCTAAACAGTTATTCTAAGCATCTCGTAATACTAAAATGTAAGAATCAAGATTCCCGTTGAGGTTCTTGAACAATAAAAATTAATTTTTGTGCATTTTAATCTAAGAAATTTATTTCGTATAAAAAAAAAATTACTATAAAAAAAATTGGAATAACTCCGATAAATGATCATTTTCTAGTTTTCATTCCGATGAAACTCCGACACGTGATCATTTTTCTGAAAAATTTTTTATAGGGCGAATAGGTCTTCTGATAATTTCAAAACACATAAAATGAGTAAACAATAATATGTGTTATAGTATATACGGTCAACTCTATAAATGCACCTCCTTTGGGATCATATACATTAATTTTCAAAAATAGTGCATTTAAAGAGGATGTTGCATTTATAAAAAAGTAGATGATTTTAAACATATAAGTTTAGACAAGACTAAAGGATGCATTTGTAAAGAGTACATATAATGGGTGCATTTATTGAGAGTGCATTTATGGAGAGTTAACTGCATACTGGATTACATTACATAAATAAATTGATACTATTAGTAAAGTAATATAATGGGCATTCACAATTACGAATTTTAGAAGGTATTGGTGAAGGAGTAATAGGAGTAATAGGAGTAATTGGTAAGTGATGTAGAAATAATAAGCTGTAATCTGTAAGGTAATAACAATAGGGATTAAAAAAGTATATTTGCGAAAAATTAAATAATATAAAAAAATTGCTATAATGTACTTTTGGCCAGAATTAAAAATCTAATAAAATACTGGCCGGCATTACGTCATAATTTCACAACTAATAATATATTATCAAAATATTTATTTATTAATTCTTATGAATATACTTTAAAATAATAATGGCAAGTAATTTAAATAACATCAATAATTTAAAATTTGGAATTATTAACTATTTAATAAAATAAAGTTACCAGTTTATTTCTTTAAAATTTATTTTTTTAAAGTATAAAAACATTCATAAATATAATAATTATATTGTTGAGTACAGATTTCCTATACCATATAATATTTTATTTTTTTGTAAATTTGCCAGTTTTTTTTAAGTTTAATCTTTTAAATAAATAAATTTACTGTATATCAGATATGATTTTTTAAAAATTCTTTTATATAATAAAATATTGTTAGAATTCCAAATATCTATATCCACTTTATATTGTATTTTAATAAATATTAAAGTTAAAAAAATAAAATTATTTAGATTTTTTTATTTAAATAATCTTAATAGTATAAATTTTATTGAATTTAAAAGTATATAATTTAAAATTTTGAAAAATATCATTAAAATTAAAAATAATTAATAATTTTACTCAATTCTATATAATCTAAACTTAACCAATTCTTATTTTTATAGGGTTTTTATTATTCATAATGCAGTAGAATCATTTTAAAGATCAATTTAAAATTGACTAAAAGATTATCAATTTATTTATAAATTCTTTTTTTTTTAGTAAACATTTTTTATATTAAGAAATCAGATAATATAACTGATTTATTAATATTATCAATTAGTTTTTTAAAGTTATGATTCTAAAAAAATTATTAGTTTTTTATTGATCTATTAAATAATTATAAAAATTGTAAAAAATAGCAATTCTATATAATCTGATTTTTTATATATAAAACTAAAAAGACTAATAGTTTTTGAAACTAATAATTATTTTTAAATAAACAATTTTTAGAAAATTTTATATAATTAAATAAATTTTATATATAATTTATAAAAGCTTTAAATTTCTAATTCAGTTCTAATTTTCAGTTTAATCCATTTCTTACATAAAATTTTATTAAAAGCGTTTTTTGGTTTAAAATTTTTAATAAAAAACATTTACAGGTCAAAACTTTTAACTAAAAATATTTTTCAGTTAAAAATCTTACTGAAAATAATTTCAGTTTGAAAAATCAGTTTCAATTTTATTTTCCAATCAAAAAAATAGAATTGAAACCATTTTTTTTTGAAAAACTTCTTAATCTGAAACCATTTTTAAATGAAATTTTTTAATTAAAAAAATATTTATTAGTTAAAATATAATTGTAAAAACTTTTTAATAAAAAGTTTTAACCTAAAAAAAATCTAGTAAGGAACTAAATTCAAAACTGAAATTGAAATCAAACCAGAAATACAAAGCTTTAATAATCTATTAAAATCCTTT